AAAAAAAAAATATGTAAATTAACAAACAATCAGAAATAACAAGAATCAAATTTTAACTTAGGAGTCCAAAACAAATAAAACATTAACACAAAACTTAATAAGAAGACGTAGGTCTAGGCCATAAAAATATTAAAAATAATTAAAAGAAAAAAAGAAGTAGGATAAATCACATAGGTACATGTTGAAACGGAACGTTTGACATTTCGTTGTAAACGTCATATGTAAAAGAGGTATATGCATAAGTTATTTGATTACGATTATAAACAACAATAATATAACATTTTTGTACCTATATGATTAGGGAAAGTATGATTATATAAAGCTAAAGGTAAAGGTAAAGGTAAATAACTTTAACTCCGGCGTAATTCAAATCAAATAAATTTTAAACGATAGAGATAAATCTCTAATGAATTAATCAACAAGCAGAATTCGGCGGTCGCTTATAGTTTTCGAGAAAAAAAATATTTAAAACTTGTTTTTTGTACTAAGAAATCCACCATTTTATTCGTTTGACTTCAAAAATTTTTTACACAGTTCTGCCAACATGATAAATATAGGAAGCGGGCGCCATCATACACGTATCGATATTCCGATTTTTTAAATTTTTTAAATCTGCCGAAATTTGTATGTATTTGAAATAAAATACAAAGAGCTGTTTAAATTTACGTCTATACTTTTTTACACCTACCGCCGAAAAAGTGAATTATGAACAATGAATACGAAAGTATTTAATCTGTCTTGTAACGATAGTCTGTGACAAGTGTTGTCAAATGACCTACTTTGGGGTACAAAAACAAAATGGGTAACGCTGAGTAGGTTTAATAAACATCATTATTTAGTCTGTTGACAATAGTTTTCGAATCGCACGTTAAATAATAAAATTTAAGTAGAATTTTAAAATTTGTAGAAATATGAACGAAGTTTTTCGCCACTGCGGAAACGAACCCACGACTTTTATGCTACTAAGCTAAACGTCTGATCGCCACACCAATGAAAATCTCAACGTCTTTTATCGCGTTTCAAGATTTTCAAGCAATGCACGCATCTATTGTTATATCCTTTACAGCAATACAATCTCAAATATCGTTTTACAACAATAAGAGTATTTCGAACGAGAGATGTCAACATGCTATATGATTTTTTTTTCTCTATAAGATTAATTGAGATTTCATTCTCTCATTGGGTAACCCTAAGAAGTCCCAGACTACTCTTGTAGCCAAATTTTTAACCAATATTGACTATTCTAGATATAAAAGAAAATAAACTTACCTTAATTTTCAACTTTTATTTTATCTTTATTTTTGGTATTTACAAGTTTCCGCGAAAATCTAAATTTGCCCATATCTTTTTATCGTTTGATTTTATACACCTAACAGGGACTATAGACCTCAGTATCTGGAATCAATTTCAAGTTTTAGGTCCACCCTTTCCAGAGATAATCGGTGGTGATTATTTACTAATTTTATTATGGTGGTATAATGGGTAGTTACAGAACCCACGGCTTATGAGTTCGACTCGCACTTGACCGTATTTTTTTCTAATAATATCACATCAGTGCTTTGCCCACAGCCCATACGAACCTCTCGCCATTGGATGCGGTCATGTGTTCCATTTCACGATCTGAATTTATACGTTTACTAGAATACTTGCGAATGTTGGAGTCTTCGATGGTTCTACAAACATGCCGCCTAAAACTCTCTTTCATGATATACTTACATCAGAGAATAGTAAAAGATAGTAAAACACAGTAATTATCTAACATCATCTTTTATTACATCAAATAAATTATAAAGATCATAGACAATAGTTATTATTTCGTTTTAATTATTTATTGATTAAAAAGCGCATGCAACGCCTCTGACGGCATTAATTCGATATTTTATGCAACACATCGATCTAATTGCTACCTAATTCAACATAAAACTTATCATCTATAACATTCACTTATTGTTATAAGAATTAATATAGAGAATCTGTCGGAATTGTCCTATTTCATTTCGAGGAATTGATTAGTGTCGCCTTACAACAGTTTTTTTGTTATGATTATGCTTATTCACAATTCAATTGATAGGAGAATCAGACAGTTTCTTACTCTAGTCTAGTTCTTTAATAAAAATATTAATACTGTCAATATAAATATATATCATTAGGTCGATAAATGCGTTGTTCACATGAAAAACTCACCAAAGCGGTATAGATAATAAATAAAAACGGAATGCATACAAAACGTGTATAATATTTGTATAACGCTACGATGTTATCCTATACATTCGTCTTAAGTCTACTAATTTACAATTGCTAAGCCTAAAGAAAAGCTTGGATCTAGCAACAAAATGGCAATAAATAGTGATTTCGCTATTGTATCTATACACAATAATATCCTCAGTCAGATTAAGTTTAAAGATAAATATGAACTCTTAAAGTAAAATCTCAACTTAAAAGTAATTTGATAATATTTGCCGTCGACAATAATGTAAAAAACAAGACATTTATGTTCACAATGGCAAGATGTCGATACAATCATAAATAAAAATCTCAAATAACAAATCTCTCGCTACGCCAAAAATGTTGCTAGCATGGAGAATGTAAAATATGGATATTATTTCGATACAAGTTGCCTTAAAGAACTTAAGTATTTTCAACAAAAGAATCTCGACTTAATTTAATATAACTAAGTAATACCGTACAATACTTATGAAACAACTAGACACAATAAATATTTTTAATTACATTAAATGAACACATACATAATTATAATGTTTTCTTAGTCGTCAAAGAATTAAATCAAAGAATCATCGTCATCAAAGAATTAAATAAAGTGTCAGGTTGATTTATAACATAGTAGTGAATCGTTATCGTTGTCGTATTAACCGTTAACGGAGCAAGAAATGTGTCATCTACAATCATTTAGTTTCAAAATAGTTTTTAGGATAGTATTACTGTAATAATCTGTTGTCAAATGACTTGTGAAATGTCATTTGACAGCCGATTATTTAATTTCTACGATGATCATTGTTTCAGAAACCGGGTGTTGGTAAACAGCATATAACGTGTCCAATCGTCATTGATGAAATGACTTAGAAAAGGCCGTAAATTGTTTAATCAACGTTTATTTAAATGGTTCCTTCTACGCACACCACTAACATTACTTATCAAACCCGATTTAACTGATTTAACAGCAGTTAGGGGAAAAAAAGTTGGTGTAATTAACGAATACAGTAGCTGTGGTCAGATATAAATTGTGATAAACAGGTTCTTAGGCGTAATAATAATGCTAAGCATACGGCTATTTTCCATATCATTGCATTCAGCATACTTAACCTAAACATTAAGATCTACAGGTTATCTCGTCGTAATTGAGAGCTTTTGGATTCTACTGTATTTTTAAATGTATTTAGAAGAAAAATTTTTGCCGCTCTGACGACGTCACTTTATAAAAGATAACTTCATCAATAAATGTTTTAGACGTTAGAAATATGTATATTATGTATTTCAAGTCGAAAGTTTTCTTAAATTCTGTTCGGTACAGTCTCATCGATGGTCGCCACCACAAAGAATACTAAAACAATTTTTATATTTAAATTTTAAATTATAAAATTGTCACATTTCTCCTTTTTTGTTAACTTTCATACATTTTTTTAAGTGTGTTTCACTATTCTTCTGGAATATTTGCAGTCTATTTATTTTAGATATTATAAATCTGGAATATCTGTTCTCTCAAAAGTATCCAAGGTTATAGTATCCATCAAAATGTTTTCTTATACGGATACCGTAATTCTTTAAGCAAATATTAATTGCAGTGTGAAAAAGTATAATAATCGGTATATGAATTTCATCATAAGGTCCATATATTGCGAAAAACGTTTCTATATATATTTATAATGGCTTTGGAAATGACATTAAAATTTTTTTAGTTGAATGATAATAAACAGAGTCCATTATTCTGATATTTATTGATTTATCAATAGTTAATCTTTACCAATAGCTCTTCGAAATATTGAGACTAAAAAGGTTTTATTAGTTTATATTAAAAATTATTCCAATACAATCTCTACGGGTAGTGAATACTGAATATAAAATGTTAAGGACTAGGATTTGTTTAATTCTAATGATAAGTGATTATTCACCGTTTGCATTATGGTAAATATTTTAATTCGGTTTTAATTAATACGTTCATAGATGATAATATCGCTACAGATTCTAAATATTTAGGCCTTCACTACTTTCCCTCTGTTATATTTCGAATAAACATTATATTATTGTATTGAAATCGATTACATTCTCGGTACCTATTAAATATTTCCTAACGCTACATGTTAATTATAGAATTATGGCGCGAAAAAGGCTGAACGTCCAGAAACGAGTAAAACATTTTTGATATGACTCGAAATAACCGATAAAATTAATTAATTTGTTGATTGATTAAATGTCGTTTTTGCGTAATTATTGTCTGTATTGATTATACATAACGTAAAATTATAGCATTTAACTTATGTAAATGAGTGCAAATTAACGATAATTTTTGTAATGCTTTTACGCGTAACCTCAATTGGCGAGTTTAGTGGCAGTTTTATTGGATTATGGATGTTTTTATTAAATAGTGTCGACGGTCGCGTACGGTTCCTGATCAGGTGAACGCTTACGAAGTAGGGATGCCGAAAGTGATGAAATATATCGATATAATATCGATATTTATAAAAATATCAACATCGGCATCGATATATTGTAGAGAAAATATCGATTAATCGTATATTTTCTTCTTAGGCCCTGTTGTCCAAAAAAAATATGTCAAGTATTAAATATTTGAATGTACGGACTATGTTCCGGATTCGAATTTGAAAAAAATATCGTTTTTGATACTATTTCGATACTGAATATTTTATATCGATATATCTGATCAAAATGTATCGGCTAAAAATATCGATATATCGATTTTTTTCTTATGTACATCGATATATGGATATTTTCCGGCGTCCCTGTGACGAAGTTTGCGGCAGTTAGTGCTGGAAGGGCGAGGTCCTGGCGCACTTCTTCCCGCAGGCGCACTTGCGAACTATCTCTAACTCTTTGGTGTAGCGCGTGCCGTCGTCGCATACGAGGCGGATCTGAAACGCAATTCGGTGACTGTGATGTGGATTTTTCAAGTTATACTTATTTAACGCGAATGAATTTGGAAAAAATTATGAGAGTGAAATTGTAGATTACAATTTTATATTGGTGATCACTGTACTTGGGAGGAAACATTAAAATGTGTAAAAATAGAGATAGAAAAACACACATTTTAATGGGAGTAAAATTTTAACTCAACCCTCAAAAACGACATGATGAAGTTAGTTGCATACAACCGATTTCATCATGCTTGGTTGTCATGGCAATACATCTAGATACATCGTTTCAGCTCAAGTTTTTAACAACTGGAGAAATTAAGCGTAGTGGGTAGTGAACCTGCCTCCTGTCCCGGAGGGTGTGGGTTCGATTACCTACTGGAAAAATGTTGTGCGATGAAGTTAGTGTTTTACTTCTGGGTGTTTATATATTTATGATTAGTATTTATTCACAAAAAACAAAACTATGTTTTAGTATGTTTATCAGTCATCTAGTACCCATAGTACGGGCGTTGCTTAGTTTGGGACTAGAGAATGTTGTGTAAAAATGTGTCCTAAAAATATTTATTTATCTTTTAACAAAGCAAAGAGTAAACTCAAAAGTGTAATGCTTCTGCGTTTCATCTGGTGAGTGAGGTGGGCGGGGCCGACTTATCAAAAGGTGGGCTAGATCGCTCGCCGACATTTCGCCCAACGGTTGTCACGGCAGGTTCTCAAGTAGTAAAACAAAGTGAACGATAGAACGGGTGAGTGATTGAACGGTTGGCTGTGGTCCGTCCATACCTTCCTCTTCTTGGTGCGTCTCGGCGCGCAGCAGAGCGGCTTGGAGCAGACGCGCGAGTCCGGGCGGGCGGCGCAGCGCGCGCCCCGCACCGGCCGCCGGCTGCGGCAGCTGCCCTCGGTCACCACTTCGCGCGTCGCCTCCTGGGGGCACACCGTGCGGCGTGTAAGTTCGGCCGTTCCCATTGGTCGGCGGCACTACGTCTCCCAACGTTAGGGCGTTCCCATTGGCCGACAGCACTACGACCGGGCGTTAGGCCGCTACCATTGGTCGATAATTCTACGTCCTTAAGCGTTAGGGCGTTCCCATTGGTCGACAGCCGACAGCTCTAAGTCCCTGAGTATTAGGGCGCTCCCATTGGTCGTTAGCTCTATGTCCTCGGGCATAAGTGCGCTCCCATTCGCCGACAACTCTACGTCCCCGAGCGTAAGGGTGTTCCCATTGGTCGACAAATCTACGTCCTCACGCGTTGGGGCGTTCCCATTTGCCGACAGCTCTACGAACGTGCGTTAGAGCGTTGCCATTGGTCACGTCGACAGCTCTACGTCCCTTATGTTATGAGGAACCTTATGTTATGAGCTGAGAAAAGGCGTTGGATAACCTTATGAGCTCAGTTACAGGGTTCTGGTGACTTACCTTCCGGCAGCCGCTGACCGAGGAGGTGGGCTGGGCGGGCGGACGCTCAGCAGCCGACTGCTTGTTGGTGGGAGCGGCTGAAACGGGCTCGGGTTGTAAGTCAACGGAGATTATAAAACACTAGACCCGTTTGTAATTTTCGCGCTGTACCTTATTCAGTGACCAAATGGTAATATTTTTTTATGTGGTATGATAAGGTGGCATGCGAGCTGGCGGTTCACCTGATGTTAAGTGATAATCGCCGCCCGTTTGAATCATTAAATTTCATTAAGAAATATGGAAGCTATAACGTCCGACCAAAAGCACTTGAGAAAAAAAATATAGAGTATCGCTCTATGGGTTAGAGAGAAGAGAATATAGAAAGATATATGGGTTTTCAAAGAGAAAATTTTTGGCGGCAACTCTAAGAGTGAAAATTAAAGCACATTAGAATCGAACAGCACAGATTATAAAATATAAATGCATTGAAACAAAAATATTTTAATTAAAAAAATAGATTGAACTATTATACAGAATAGAATAAATAATTTTAACATAAATGATCATGACCTTTAATTTCCAATAGAAAATAATTTCCTTTTAGATACCGGCTCGGTAAAAGCCTATATATCTTTATCAAAAAGGCATGCTGTTCACCCGATGTTAAGTGATTACTATTAACCAGACTTTTACCACATCTGGCGGATTGCTACCTGTTAACCGTAAAAAAGTAGGAGTCCCGGTTACCTCATTCACCAGAAGAAACACGAAAGTATCGCACTTCTTTTAAGATTAATTTAAATTTTTTATTAGTAGATGAAACTTAAAATCGTAAATTTTCGACGAGTTTTCGAATTAGTTCTATTGCATTTTAAGCAACGAAAATAGACGTTAGTTGATAAAGCGTGTGGGCGCGGAAACAGAAGACGTAGGTTCGAATCTCGCAGCGTTGAAAGTTTTTTTTTCATTTATCTACAAAAAATTTACAATTTAAACTACAACACTTCACGCCGGTCTGAGGCTGCTGCGCGGTTCTACCACATTGGTGCTTTCAATATATAAGGGACTGGTACAAAAACTATGACCAGCTAACTAAGCCTAGGTTACCTGGCGATGCCTGCACGTTACTGATCGGCTGCTTGTGTAGCGGAGGTTTCTGGACAATTACCGGTGCGCCCCCTGTTGGAGAAAACAGTGAACACTGTTAAAATGACTACGGAAGAAGGAAAGAGAACATTTGTATCATATTTGTATTTTTGTGAGGAAAAGGTCGTAAGCACGAATCACCACCTCGACCTAGAAGATCTATTGTAGTCTTCTTTTCGAGAACATAACCACTACTGTAGGGTATATAATTATCCTTCGCTGTAAGGACCTTTTACATACATTTCATTTGGACAAACACCCAGATCTGGAAGAATTATCTGTGGGTCACAAGAACGGTTGTCCAGTGTGGGGATCAAACCCACGACTCGCAACGAAGGCAGTACCTAGGCCGCTGCGCCACGAAGTCATATTAAATTAAGCAATCGCACACTCTTCGTCTATTCTATGTAGGTAGGTCTCTTATGTAGGTCTTAAGTCTTTGTAAGTATCTTTGCGTTTTGTTTTTGTCTAGGTGTTAATTCCAAAACAAAAAGAGAGTCTTTCCAGCGTCTGTTTTGGTGTTTGATTTTGCATCTTTGCGTGCCGCGTCGCGTGTTTATAAGTGTCTCGTTCTATGCCCCTCTCTAACTAATGCTTGTGTATGTGCATGCCTTTGTGTCACTGCGTCGCGTCGCATGTTTTTATATGCATCTTGTTCTCTGCCCCTCTCTGACCAATACTCGTCTACGTGTGCCTTTGTGTATACGCGTCGTGTTTTTGTTCGCGAGTATGCGTATGTGCGGGTGTGTTTATGTCCCCCCCCCCCGCCCCTCACCGATGCCGGTGCGCGGCTCGCACTGGTTTATATGTATCGTTTTCTCTGCCTATTCTCTGCCCCTCGCTTACCAATGCTTGTCTACGTGTGCCTATGCGTATGCGCGTCGCAAGTATGCCCGTGTGTGTGTGCGTGTGTGTGTCTATGTGCCCCACCCCCGCCCCCGCCGCTCACCGATGCCGGTGCGCAGCTCGCACTGTGCGCCCGCCGTGCCCGCCCTGCAGCGGCACGTGTAGTCGGAGGGGGAGCCCTCCTCGCGCACGCAGCGCCCCCCACGCGCGCACGGGTTCGGCACGCACGGGTCCTGGGCACAAACATGCATGTAGACCCCTGCTGAAGACCGCCAATCCTAAGGATGCCAGGTGTGGGAAAAGGGCAATGAAGCATTGACAAACGGACTTATCAAACGCCAAGGAATTAATGGTGCTTATAATAATGGATGCAATCTTTTCATTTATTATATTAATTTCATTTTAGTTTACAACAAAATCCACAACCCATAGTTACATTATACGTACACGCTATATATAATAAATAAATAAATATATAAATACCAAAAAGGAATTACTTTATTTAAATAGTATTATAATCAGTTTGATGATAATAATGTAGTTGAGACTAAAGTTACATATTATTTCACTGAGGTAGGGCCACGCAACACTCTTTTCTGTTGCACGAATGGGCAATTTCGTCCGACTTCGATCGGCAGTGTGGCCCGAGAAGAGACCAGCCCCAGTCCAGCTCCTGCAACCTGTCCCACCTGGCGGTGAGCACCGACCTCCTACATCCTACAGTCGCTATACTAAATATTATTAGAACTTATTGTCAGGGAACTAAGCTGTCACGGCTCTTAAGCTTGGGCTGTGTCAATATGGCCCGAAGACATTGCTCTATATACCAGCGTTAGTCCAGCTCCCGCAACCTGTCACACCTGACGATGCGCCCCCCTTCTGCCTCAAGGTTGCTAGACTATTATTGGAACCTAATTGCCGGGGCACTAAGCTATCATTAAACTTGGGCTGTGGCAATGTGGCCCGAAGACAAGGCTCTATAAACCAGCTCCCGAAACCTGCCTCACCTGGCGATGAGCGCCGTCCTCCTGCAGGGCGGGCCCCGGCTGGGCGGGCGGCTGCTCCTCGCCCCCGCAGCCGGCGCCGGTGCGCACCGTCCGCGCCGCGTTCACGAAGTCCACGCGCTTGTGGTTGATCCACGCCTCCCGAAGGCACCCTGCGCCCAGAACACGTTCAAAAACCCCAACAGACCCGAACTCCACGCCCGAATCAGGTTCACACAAACCCCAACGGATCTCCGCCCGACATAGGGTCCGCACGCAAGCCCCAACGGACCTCCATTTATCATTATCTTTGGTAAGGCCACGCAGCCTCGTCTGTTGCACGATTGGGCAGGCTCGTTCGGGTAAGTACCTCGACCTCACAGAAGACCGGCGTCAAGTGGAAGTATAACACTTTCGCGTTTCGTCTGGTGAGTGAGGTGGCCGGAGCCCATTTATTTAAATGGTTGTCAACGCATCTGCAACCCATCAGGAGTTGTAGATGTTCATGGGCGGCGGTAATCACTTAACATCAGCTGAACCTTCTGCACGCCTGACAACTATTCACATAAAAAAACATAATCGGGTTCACGCACAAACCCCGAAAGAGAAGTGTCTAGGTGTCTTGCACCCTCCGACCACATTCATACAAGCCTAGTCACATGGCCTTCATACCACATGACGAGGATTCGAATCCAAATGTCTACATTCAATACAGAAGCATCACATTTATTTTGTCCTGAGAACAACGAAAATAGAACCGACGAAAGAAACTCAGCGGGACATTTTTTTTCCATTATTTGACAAGAAATATGTTCACAACGTTTTACAACGCACTTTTTCTACATATTTTAATGTTCACAACGTATTAAAAAGTCCACTTGAAAGAACCTGGAGCGATCTATTCATTTCCAGGGCCGTGTTATAATTTAAATAATGACTAACATTATAATAGCCTTTAACACACAAACGTTCCTTTACAATTTTTTTTCAATTTACCAACTGGTGCATTGAGAACGTTTTCTGGGTTTTTGTGGTAGAAACGTATACATTGTCCCATAAAAGAATTACTTATTCTACGCGGTCTAGTTGTGGCTTTTGTGATTTTTTTCTCCAATCGTGAGAAGATATAAGTTCACCTTTGAAGCTGGTGATGTTGCGGAGGTGCCACCTGCTGAAGGCCTCCTTCGCAACATCCTCAGGGACTCCACCCAGGAACATTGGGCGGTTGAGCCTCAGGAACTCGTTGGTGCCTGGAATAGAACGAGTTGGCTCAGCAAGTCTAGCTCTAGAAGGTGCACCTTGAAGTTATCCACTTGGCTAAATATATGGAGGTGGTGGTCCAATCAAGGTCAGGTCTAGAAGCTGTATCTTGTGCCTAAAATAGAACTAAGTGCCTAAACCAAGTCTAGGTCTAGAAGGTGTATCTTTACGCTATCCACTTGGCTAAATATATGGAGGTTTTGGTTTGGTTTAATCAAGGTCTGGTCTAGAAGGTATATCTTGACTCTATCTAGTTGGCAATATCTGAGTTCTGAATATATTTTTTCTCTGACTGAAATTAAGCCTGATTTATAACTATTGTTGATTCTAGTTAAACAGTGTGCAGTATCGCGTCAACAAGCAATCATTAGAAAAACCGACCAAGAATAACGGCAAAAAATATCATGTCTCTTGTATGGGAGCACCACGAAGAAAATAGTTAACAACACGAGGAGCATGCAAAGAGTATCTAGTAACAATAAACACGAAACCAAATTGCGTTAAAAATATATATCGAAATTGACACGAATTCGATAGTCTGAAGTAAATATCGAATATCGATATATCGCGATAAAAATATCGGCGATATGTATAGTCGATAATTATATGCAAAAATATTCGATATTTTTATACAGCGTGTCGTTACCACCGCGACAATAAATGAACACACATATAGATAACTTTTTAAAATTGTATTAAGCATTTACATTCTTTAAACTTATTTTACCGAGTATATTACGAATATTTACCGAGTTATTCTGGAACACCCTTACGTATATAATAATCTTCATAAAAGTTCATGTGTAAAGGTCACAAATCATATGGGTTGAATGAGTTTAAAAGAGATAAAACATACTGTTAGAAGGAGATACTTGTAACGCGACGCTGTGGCAATGAATGAAAAAGTCCCTGAATGTATGAATCAATGAGTTTTAGTTGTATAGGGTGTAACAAATTTTGTTTCTTTGTTATTTTATTAATTTATTATCTAATTATAATTTTTCTTTTTTTTTTAAATTATGGATGTTTTTGAAAGTTTGTATTTTTTATGATTATTGACAAGTAGCGTTAGAAGTGTGTTAATTTAATGTCGCAGTTGTAACAGCACGCTGCATATCGATATTTTTTGCTACTGCGCAATGATAAGGTCGTAGTCCGTACCTTCGTTGATGATGGACCTGGCCGGGCCGTCGTCCACGCGAAGAGTGAAGTTCTTCTTCACCGCCAGCAGCTCCGCCTTGTGGTAGTGACCGTCGGAGACCATCTCGAAACTGCAACGTCATGGGTGGTAACGCGTCTTCAGCTGTTTCACGAATGAGCAGGATGTGCCACGGCATCACAGAAGACCGGCGTGAAGTGGAAGTATTGTACTTTCGCTTCGTCCGTCGAGTGAGGTACTCAAGACCCATTTAAAAGTTGGCAACGCACTTGCTTTTTTATGCGAGAAGGTGGCAAACGAGCTGGAGGTTCAACTGATGTTAAGTGATAACCGCCCGTTGGCATTTGAAACTCCCGGAGGGTTGCAGATGCGGTGCCAATGCCTTTGTTTGGCTTTTTTCCTGTGGAATCTAGTGTATCCTAGAGGTCACTATGTAACGAGCTCGGAGTAACAATATTTCTTCCAGGTATTTTTGCAAGAATGTTCAGCGTAACTACGCTAGTAAGTACTAGTAACTAGACTCCAAAGAGTAACTCGTTCATGGGGTAGGAAGGTTCTAGGTCTCTCCAAACTTGACCGGGCCCTAGGGTCTGACCTGTACATCGTGGAGGTGGGGGGGGTCTTTTATTTTTATTTTTATTTCACACGAAATCCACAGCTCTTTGTTACATCATACGTACATGATCCAAAATTATAGCCAAAAACGGATTTACATTACTTAAGTCTTTGCAAGGTTCTAGAGGCGGTCCCTCCAAACCCGACCGGGTTCTAGAAGGTCCCTCCGAACTTGACCAGCGTCTGACCTGTACATGGTGGAGGTGGGGTGGTTGCCAACGTCGTAGCTGATGCGGATCCTCCCGTTGAACAGCTCGACCGCGAGGTGCTCGTGGTCGCCGTAGTACATCAGCACGCCGTGGTGCTGCGAGGTGCTGAACACTGGGGGGGATTTCGACTTTAATAGTCGGTAATAAGACTCGAAATAGTGTGCAAAACGGGTATTGCAAATGTCCGTTCGGTGGGTATCACTTAACATCAGTTGAACCGCCGGCTCGTTCGCCACCTTCTCACGTAAAAAAACTTTCGTATTAAGATAAACTTTTGATGTAACAGAACGATTCCATTTCAAATCGGCACTGCTCATTAGAGACAGGGAGGTCGTTTTGACCAGTTTCAGCGCCGTATTTAGGGGGGGAAGGGGGGGACTCTCTGGGGCCTCCACATAAGAGGGGCCCCCACAATAGAGACTTCGGAAAAAAAAAGTTTCAAATTCAGACTGGTAAACAAATTCCGTTCGTTAACGCTAAAATTGAATTTTAGATAACTCTTGTTTCCTATTATATGAATATATTCGTTAAATAATAAAATCATCTATCATTGGCATGCAAATATTTCACAAATCATTGGAAAACTCTACTGAAAAAAACTGTTGGAAAATAATTCGGGGCCAAGGGGCCTCCACTTTTTGTTGCCCCGAGGCCTAGACTTCTAAATCCGGCCGTGACCAGTTAGGTCGTTTGTCAGAAGACCAGACACTCACCCAGCGTGACGTTGGCCTGGGGCGAGGTGCGCAGCGGCTCCAGCTCGACCAGAGAGTCGTTGTAGTTGAACGTGAGTGAAGTGAGGTACTCGCAGAGACGGCCTGGGACATAAAGATGGCGTCGAAAACCATATATTAAATTATCACTGACAAAACATACATTTTTAAAACAAGAACAAAGGCTATTATATCAATAATCGGGCACCTTTAAATATAGAACAGAATTTTCTTAAAATTTCCCTGAGTAGACAAATAATAAATTATCCTCAAAACTAGTTGATAAATTGTAAAGTTTAATATATAGCAATATGTAAAATTAATCAAAGTTACATTTTTTTTTTAAATTATCTATACAGATAAATAAAATTGGAGTGTCTTTTTGTAATATTAAAATAATCGCTTTTTATTAAATGCATATGGATTGATGGACAATTTTTGTCTGTCTGTCTGTTTGTTCCGGCTAATCTCTGAAACGGCTGGACCAATTTTGACGGTACTTTCACTGGCAGATAGCTGATGTAATAAGGAGTAACCTAGGCTACTTTTATTTTAGATTTTTTTTATATATTAAATTCTACGCGGACGAAGTCGAACGCATAACTAGTTGGCCATAAAATTAAAACTAGTTTTATTGGTAAGGTCATATTATGTCAATCATGACTTGGTAAGGTGACGTTTGACTGTTCTGTGCCAATTCTAATTTGGTAGGGTTAAAAAAATTCTCTATTCTCAATACGATGAGGAAGTGTTAAACTACACAATTACATATTAATTATTGCCAGTTTGTCGTTGCTTAAATATAAAACAATTGATTATTGGCTGAAATGGCTACTTCATGTCCCTTCAAGCTCAACTATTACGTTTTTAATTACCACGCGGAACACGTTGAGAGTGAAAATCTCCAGATTGTGGTAGCTTCTACGTGAATGATAAATAATTATTATTAGTCCTTGTCATTATTACGCGTATCACTCGGTATACGGTATTAAATTATAAAATTCAAAATGGCGGATTTTTGGGCGGCAAAACATTTGTTTACAAAAACAGTTAATAGAGCTGTCGAGTAATTTATTATTACTGGTCGTAGAATCTACATGTATTTATGGAAATTCAAAATGACGAATTTTTGGCGGCAAATCATTTGTTTCAAATGCAGTTAATAAAAGCTGTCGTGTAATTTTTTATTACTGGTCGCGTCTATTTGTCTATTTCTACGTATATTTATAGGTTATGATAATGAAAGAAAGAAAATACATTTATTTACTAAAAAAAGAAAAAAAATTAAAAGTAAAAAAATTTAATGTTATGTATGTGTGTGTATGAGAATATTTTTTTATTACTGACTTTCTGTCTTCTGTTTCGTGATCGTCGTGGTATCCTCGTGTATGGTTATGCATGGGCGTGTATGAGAGGTTTGTATGGGAGTACTCACCCGAGTAGCCCGGCGCGCACTTGCAGAGGTAGTCGTTGCTGGCGCCGAGCATGGCCCTCTCCATCATAATGTCGTCCTGGCAACAAAAAGCTGGTGCATTGTTAGGCGCACGCGCTCAGTGCCCGCTAGTGGAATATACAGCGTGTCGTTACAAACGCGACAATAAATGAACACACATATAGAGGATAACTTTTTAAAATTGTATTAGGCATTTACATTCTTTAAACATCAATATTTACCGAATTATTAAATTTTGCAAAACAAACCATTTTAGAAAAGCCTTATATATAAAACTGTAACGTAAAGTTCATTTGTAAAGGTCACAAAGCATATGAATGGGTTGAATGAGTTTAAAAGAGATACAGTTAGAAGGAGAGACTTGTAATGCGACGTTGTGGCAACGAATGAAAAAGTCTCTGAATGTATGTATCAGTCAGTTGCAGTTGTATAGGATGTTACAAATTTTGTTTCTTCTTTATTTAATTACGCCATCTCTTCTTCCCCCATCCGCTCTATCCACGCTCTCATATGTGTAGTCCACGTGGAACCCCCCAGCGTCGGCAGATGCGAAACTAAAATGGCGGACGCTGGCGCCATATTGCCCCCCCATAGCCGCAGCGGCACCCACCTGCAGCGCGAGCGCGGGCAGGTAGCAGACGCCGTGCACGCAGTCGTGGTGCGCGCAGGGCGAGGTGCCGAGCGCCGCGTGGGGCGCCGCCTCGCAGTAGCGGCCCGCGTAGCCCGCCGCGCACGAGCACCGGTACTCGTCCAGCCCGTCCACGCACGTCGCGCCGTTCTGGGGACCGACCGTCGTCTTCCCTTCAGCCCGTTTGAGTCCGCCGCCGAACACAGGCCTCCCCCGCACACCACCAAAGCACGATCGCTCCATCTAGTGGGACTCCGGTGGTCCACTTTCCCATTCATCATCATCATCATCATCACAGACCTCCCACACAGACCGCCATGAGGCACGATCCTGAGCCACCTGCATCCGTCGACTACCCGCACAATTGCACACTTCATCACTCCTTCCAGTGGGACTCCGGTGCTCCACTCGCCCATTCATCATCATCATCATCACAGACCTCCCCCGCAGACCGCTACGAGGTACGATCCTCAGCCACCTGCATCCTTCGACTTCGCGCACACTTGCACAAGTCGTCGCTCCATCTAGTGGAGGGTCGTCCTACACTGTGATGGCAAATACGAGGCTGCCACTCGAGAACCTTTTTTCCCCAGCGATTATCGGTTCTACGATCTATATGGCTGACCCATAACATTTAAACTTAATAACCCTCTAAGCTCTCACTTACTGATCTCAAACACTGATCATCGTAGAAGTTAACTAATCAGCTGTCAAACGGCTTTTCAAATGTCATTTAAGTTGCCGAAAGGATGGTTAAACTCTTTGAATTGATCATTCCATTGACGAACCGATTGGCGATGTGGGTAGTGACTATAGGAAAAATGATGTGATGAAAAAGTAGTGTTTTACCGGTGTCTGGTCGTATATTTATAATTCTTGATTGGTAATCTCAGATTATACATACTCTTTTGATGTCAACTCTGATCTGTTTGGTTTGTATTATGTTTGAATTACTTTAAATTTGGAATGTTAGTTTTATTTCTTCAGACAGAATTTTATCATATTTGATTGATTCTGTAAAAATAGCTTAAAGAAGTAACATGTCTGGCTATCTGACATAGCTCTTGTATTTTACATAAATTTCATAATGATTACGTTTCGCTAAAAATAAGTTCAAAATGTTCATGTTGAAATAAATAGTTTTCTTATCAGTCCTTAAGTGTCTTTTTTCTTTGAAAATGATCCCATTAGCCACAACTATCATTCAAGAATAATATGTATTTATTTACAAAAGAAAAGTATGTTTATGTGTGTTTATCAGTTATCTAGTATCGATAGTACAAGCGTTGCAAGGTAAATATGCATTTAGATATGCTTGTAAATATATATTAGTTTGGGATTAGAAAAAGTTGTGTAAAAATATGTCCCCAAAATCATATTTATAAATATTTATTCCGATCATTAAGAAGAACAATTCAGAGAGTTTAACAACCATCCTTATGGCAATTTAGATGACATTTGTCAGTGTTCCAGAAACCGGGCGTGAGTCCTCCTATCTTATGAAACCGCTTTGCGATCGACTGTACAGCTCCGTCCGGGTACGAACCTGGCACATGTGGTTCACACAATCGTCGGGGTTGACCGTGCAGTTGGGGCCCGAGTAGCCGCGGGGGCAGCTGCACGAGTAGTGGCTGCGGTGGTCCACGCACGTGGCTCCGTTCTCGCACGGGTTGAACTCGGCGCTGCAGTACGGTATCTTCCTCTCGCAGTACTCGCCTGCGGGGGGGAGAGGGTAGAGTGGAGAGTGAGTGCGCTTGAGGGTAGAACGAGAGGAGGGAACTCGATGTACAGAAGACGTCCTGTCTTTTCCACTTTTTCCACTCACACTTTCACTCCAATTCATGCCGGTGTTGCGAGGTCGCGTTACTTACCCGGACGGACCTGCCCATTCGTGCGACGGCGAAGATTGTCGCGTGGCCTTTTAAGTTCCTCATGAACTAGGTAACCAGTAAGGGAATTTAGATTTCAGAAAGGGTTTTCAAATGCTGCGGCATGTACCGTCAGGTCTCAAGAGCCTCTTCGCGATTGGATTTGTGAAAAAGTGGCAAACGAGCTGGCGGTTCACCTGATGTTAAGCGATAACCGTCGCCCGTGGACATTTGCGACACGCGAAGGGTTTCAAATACGTCGCCTATTTTAAATAAAGTGGGCCCCGGCTACCTCACTCAGCAGACGAAACGCAGAAGTGTAACACCTCCACTTCGCGCCGGCCTTCTGTGAGGTCGCGGTCCCAGACGGACCCGCCCATTCGTGCAACAGCGAAGACTGTTGCGTGGCCCTGGAGCTGGCCCGTCTAACCAGTGGCACTCTCACCCATGTAGCCGGGGGCGCATTTGCAGGTGTAGCCCTCCAGGTGGTCCACGCAGCTGGCGTTGTTCTGGCACCTGTGGCCCAGGCAGTCGTCTATGTTCACCTCGCAGCGGATACCGGTGTAGCCGGCGAGGCAAGCGCAGCTGGAAATTTGGTAACATCGTGTACACCGTGCGCGAATAGGGTCTGTTATGCGAATAGCGTAGACGTCCTCTTCGACCTACCGCTGTCAGCCGTAAGAGGTTTATGAACTCACTTCAAGAAAATCCATTTTTAACCGACTTCAAAAGGAGGATGTTCTCAATTCGACTGTCATTTTTTTATGTTGGTACCGCAGAACTTAAACACTTGAACAGAATAAAGTAATTATATGCATCAATGATAGTATCTCGAAAACTAACGAAAACTTAATGTCAAATTAATACATTTCAAATTCGAGTTTTTTGCATAATACAAATTATTAATTATAATCATTGGATTTTAATCAAACAAATATTAGATAATTTGGAGATATATTAATGACAGATTATTAATACATACACTATACAGGCTATAAAAATTTGGACGACCCGAATGGCGTAGTGGGTAGTGTACCTGCCTCCTGCGCCAGAGGGTGTGGGTTCGATCCCCACTACTGGTAAAATATAGTGTGACTGTGATGAACATACAGACCAGACACTGGAAAAACACTGTGTATGTTTATCACACAATATTTAATATGTTTTTATTGTTTATAAATTTTTAATATGTATTTATTTACCAAAGAAAAGTACGTTGAAGTGTGTTTATCAGTGTTCTAGTACTCATAGTGCAAGGGATGCTTAATTGCTTAATTTGGGACAAAAGAACGTTATGTAAAAATGTGACCTAAAGTAGAAAAAATTATATCTGCTGTATTGAGATAATATATAACTAATTAATTATAAATACATTACATTACAATTTATAAATTAAAACGTAATTATTTCATTCACAACATTTATTATAAATCATTAGTGATTACACACGATCGTGTGATATCACAACAAAAATTATAGGATTCGAACCCAGGACCTTTTGTGGGTCACAATACATTACGATGCAGCTCCCGCGATTTAGATCTAGGGACGGAACGATCTAACCATACCGTGAATTTTTTCAACGGAGCGACATCTAGTTTCCATTATTGAAGTAAAATCGAGATTGACAAATAATTTCGATGAAGTAATTAGTAGTTTTCGGTGAAGTAATTTCGATGAATAAAAGTGGGAGATGTATTAAATGTATTAGCTTTGAGTTAAGTCTAGTGAAGAAAACTTAATTTTTAAACCTAAAACTTTTCTCTTCAAGAATCCAGTAATTGTTTAAATAGGACAACAGAGGGCAGTTTTTTAATCTGCAATTATTTAATAGAATACTTTATTAGAAATCGAAACTAAATAATAAGACTATGTATTATTAAACAGGCACCGTAATACATGTTTCATGTATTCGATTTAAGTACGATTACATGTTATGTAATCAAATATTTTAATTTTTCTGGTTCTTTTCTCGCGCAAAGGTTAAGCATAACTATTCAGCGAGGAAATGCAGCTAGCGTTCTTGGCACCATGCCGCGTGGATTAGGTTTATTAGATAATATGTAATTTTAGATAGATTTAATCTTGTAAATATTAGATCAATAAAGATTGTCTTTTCTTCAGAAAAAAAAAAAAAAAATTTAACTGATAAAATTTTAAGAATGTCACAATAGGACATCGAAATGTACCCGCTGTTTTTTTTTATACAGCTAACATTAATTCTTTTATGCAACATAAGCGCTGATTTGTGTCGTGCTATTCGGTTAAAAAAATATCATGAACAGGTAAATAGTAAAAAATAAATTTCTAAGATTGATTTCTAAGACTGCCAATACGCAGTGGGGTCGTGGGGAGGCCTTTGCCCAGCTGTAGGACATTAATTATAGGCTGTCACTTTACTTAGTAGCAATGAGAGGAGCATTTGAAGAATAATATCTTAAATATCATGGCAAGATCTTGGCCTCGAGCGGACCCCTGCCGATTGGCCCTGGGAGGCACGGTCCTTGTCTAAACAAGGCCCTGGCCCGAAGCGGTCCATTAATGATTGGCCCTGCAAAGTAAGGCCCTGGCCCGGAGCGGCCCCTGTCGACTGGCCCTGAGAGGCACGATCCTTGTCTAAAAAAGGCCCTGGCCCGAAGCGGCCTACTGCTGTCTGGCGCTGCAAAGCACGGGCCCGATTGTCCCTGCGAGGCGGGGTGCTCACCTGAAGCGGCCCTCCTCGAGTAGCCGACAGCTGCCGTGCGCGCAGGGGGCGCCGTAGCAGGCGTCGATGCGGTGCTGGCACGCGTCGCCGTGGAAGCCCCTGGCGCAAGCGCAGCTGAAGCCGCCCCTGGTGGCGGAGCAGGTGCCGCCGTTCAGGCAGGGGGCGCGCAGGCAGCGGTCGCACTTGGCGGCCACCTCGTCGGGCGGCGGCTCTGCGCATGGATTCGAATCCCATGGGAAAAGTGTTCGTGTGACCCGCAGATAGTTGTTTCGGATGTTTGTCCGTGTGACATTTGCAAGGGTCTTGGGTTCACAATAGGTTAAAAAAACAACATTGTCGTTCGGTTTTCTTTTGGTTATACGGAGAAGTAGCCAGTCGTAGAGAGTTGTGTACCCACCTGTGCAGACGAAGGCGCTGGAGAGCGTGCTGAGCACCAGCTTGTCCTTCATCCTGGCCGGCTCAGCGCACCTGGCGATGCCCGCCTCCACGTACTCGCCCGCGCTCTTCACCCACTCGGAGAGCCAGAGCGCGTTGCAGTCGCAATAGAGCGGGTTCGAGCCCAGCGCCCTGGGGGACACTTGCCCGTTTAGCGGACGCCTCTCGTGATAATCGACGTATTTTCGGGCAAAACGGGACCTTATTACTAAGACTCGCTGTATGTCCGTCCGTCACCGGGCTGTATCTCGTGAACCGTGATAGTTAGACAGTTGAAATTTTCACAAATGAAGTATTTCTGTTGCAAACAGAAATACATCACTATAACAGCAAATACTAAAAAACAGAATAAAGTAATATTTAAGTACGGCTTGCATACAACCGAAACGATTTGTGTGCAGTTTTCATAGATAATTGTACGGAACGCTTTGTGCATGAGGAGTCCGACTCGCACTTGGCTTTTTTTTCTAAACTAAATAAAGATATTAAGTTTGATAAATATAAAAAAAAAACATGTTTTTATCGCACACTAAAGTAATTATAAAATAATCTACTTAACTTGTTTCTGGTACGATATAAGTAGCTATGCATTTAACAATTGCCAATATTTTCACTTTTGACAATTGGAAGTAGGTTAGAGTAGACTTGTGAGAGTTTATTGCATTGTTAGTTAGTTAGTTATTAGTTAGTGAAGTTAAATAAAATGTGTTTAAAATTATTCGTGAAATCGTATTTTATAATATTTCCTATTACAGATGTCGCATCTAAAGATCATTAAGGGCCATGATAGCTCAGTGTTCGGGCGCTCGCTTGTTATCACTACATAGTATAAAACAAAGAAGTCTCGCTGTCTGTCTGTCTGTCCCTATGTATGCTTAGATGTTAGATCTTTAAAACTACGCAGCGGATGATGCGGTTTTTATTACTAGATAGAGCGATTCAAAAGGATGGTTTATATGTATAAGAACATTGCAGCCGTGCGAAGCGGGGGCGGGTCGCTAGTTTATTATATTTGAACAACTTGAATTCAAATCTGTTCCAGCTTCAATGTCACTGATAATTTTAAGTGCTGACTTATCACGTGCTCAGCGGCGAAGGAAAACATCGTGAGGAAACCTGTATATTTTAGAAATAATAAATATTTATTTATTTTATAAGTATAATTTAAATAGAATTGTAACAAACTGGAAAATATAATTGTAATGATGAATTAGATGAAGAGATTAAACGAAAAAAAAAAAACAATTAATTACCTATACGACATTATAACATTTACACCATCTAATATTATCGCCTTATATCTAAATATCCTCGCGGGTTATCCTTCAGTGGGTATTATTGGTAGCGATTACTCACACATGCGATATGGATTTCAGGTCCCTGAAGACGCCATCGGCCAGCATGGATATGTTGTTCCCGTGCAAGGAGAGGACCCGAAGTTGAGTCAGACCCTTAAGGGCGTCGCGCTAAAAAATTGTTATACGTTAAAATTTGTAGAAAAAAAGGTACGAAAAGTTTTTCGCCGCTGTGAGAATCGTTTCGAAAATCGGGTACAATCTTAAGTGCAATGATTAGCATTAGTACCTGGAGGTTTTTTTGGTAAATCGTGTATTTTGGAAAGAAAAAAAATAAAGAAAATGATCTGGTATAGAAAAAAAAGTAAAAAAAAAATAAGTGTGTAAATGATCGCGATACGAACCGCGGCCGTCCGTTTTGGACCTATCGTTTCTATTATAACATTTATTTGCGGCGAAATTTACTGTCATATTCGAATGATATTTTTCATTCCCTGAAAATAGGGATAAAAGGACATTTTCTAAAAATGAAACCTAGCTAGATCGATTTATCGTCGTAAAACGATATATTCGAAAATGTTTGTATGCTGGAATGGTTGTAACAATGGATGCGCCAAGCATTGCTTCAAATGATAAAAAACCGTTATTCATAAAAAAAAAATTAGAAAAAAATTTTTACACAACGTTCTCTAGTCCCTAACTTAGCAACGCTGGTACTATGGGTACAAGACAACTGATAAACATACTTTGTAAATAAATAAATGTTATAAATGTATAAACACTTGAAAAAACACTATGTTTATCACACAACATTTTTTCAATAGTGGGATCGAACCCACACCCGCTGGCGAAAGAGGCATGTATAATACATTGCCCGTGCGAAGCCGGGGCGGGTCGCTAGTAAGGTCTAAAACAGTGGATGTCTCTTTCCATCTTCTCCTAGACAACTTCGGTGCGAAGAGATTATACTCAAAAAAATCAAAAATCAAATGTATTTATTCAACATAGGAGCATTACACTCACTTATTGATAGTCAAAACACTACCACCGGTTCGGAAAAGAAAGCCACTGTACTGAGAAGAACCGGCGAAAGAAACTCAGCGGGCTTTTTTTTTTAAATAAGCAGTTTGACATAAATTCGTTAAAATACAATATAAGAACTCCGATTGAAAGAGCCTGGAGCGATCAGTTCATTACCAGAATGTGTTATCATTTAAATATTCATTAATATTATAGTAGCCTTTAACACACAAACGTTCTTTTACTATTTTTTTTTAAATTTAGCTATTGATGCATTTTGAACGTTTTCTGGAATTTTGTTGTAATAACGTATACATTGTCCCATAAAAGATTTACTTATTTTACGGAGTCTACTTGTGGGTAGGATCAATTTATTTTTGTTCCTAGTATTTATATCATGAACATTATTATGTCTTAAAAATTTATCCTTATTTTTATGGACATACAAAACATTTTCAAAAATGTATTGAGCAGCAACAGTCAATACCTTTATCTCTTTAAACAAGTTTCTTAACGATTCTTTGGGGCCCAGATTGTAAACTGCACGAATAGCTCTCTTTTGTAAGATAAAGATTGTATTAATGTCGGCCGCGTTACCCCAAAGCAGAATGCCATAAGACATTATACTGTGAAAATAACTAAAATATACCAAGCGAGCCGTATCAACATCAGTTAACTGTCTTATTTTTTTGACCGCGAAAGCTGCTGAGCTAAGTCTACTCGCCAGTCTATTAATATGGGGGCCCCAATGCAGTTTGGCATCAATAGTTATGCCAAGGAATACAGTTGAGTCAATAGGGTCCAACGCTTCCCCATATAAAAGTACATCAGTTTTTACATGTTTAACATTGGAGGAAGTTGTAAATTTAATACATTTAGTTTTTTTTATTATTCAACAGTAAATTGTTAGCACTAAACCAATGTACTATAGTAGATAGAGTATTGTTTACATCGTCATAACTTAAAGAACGTCGGTTTACTTTAAAGATTAAAGAGGTATCATCCGCAAACAATACTATCTCATGATTATTATTAACAAAATAAGGTAGATCATTTATGTAAATGAGGAAGAGAAAAGGCCCAAGAATAGATCCCTGCGGGACCCCATATTTACCAAGGCCCTGGGAGATCTCTTGCCATTCACGTCAACTCTCTGAATTCGATGGCTCAAGTACGATTTCAGAAGATTGAGTCATTAAAGGGCTGACCTGCACGCATCTCAGCCGGTTGTAGCTGACTATGAGGGTAGATAGCTTGGTGAGGCCCTCGAAGGTGTTATTGTAGAGGACTGTTATCCTGTTGTTGGACAGGTCCAGCCGCGTCAGGTGGCTCAGGTGGCGGATCTGCTCCGGCTCCACGCTGGCAATCTCGTTCGACTCCAGGTACCTGGGAAGGTTGAGCTGGTAACTGTTGCACGAGTGGGCAGGTCCGTCTGGGTGAGTACTGTAACCTCGTGGAAGACCGTCGTGAAGTAGAAGTGTTACACGTATGCGTTTCGCCTGGTGAAGTGGCCGGGCCGATTTATTAACAGGTGGCAAAGCATCTCCAACCCTACGGGTGTTGCAAATGTCTACGGGCGGCGGTTATCACTTATCACATCAGGTGAATCGCCAGCTCGTTTACCACTTTCTCACATAAAAATACTTTATTTCATAGGGATTCAACTAGCGGGCGTCAGAATGTTGCAGAAGCGTTGGGAGTGCCCCAGGGTAAGTTATATCACCGGCATACTAAAGTATGAATACTAGTTGACTAGTCGACTCTTTAATGAAACCGTGGGGTTTAGTTATGTCTAGTTGATCTAAGCTGTTATGTCTCCTGTTTAATGCTGACTTTCGTGGTTATCGGCAATGGCATCTAACGTCTTGAGGGGCTACATGTTCAACCCCTATAAAGGTCAAGTCTTATTATTTAGGTTAGCAGCTGCTGCGTAGCCCAGCTGGGGACAGATTGTGGTGGGTTTGCCATCGTTTTTAATGACGGGCACCTGCATAACAGCTTCCAGTCTCCACGACATGCCAATCCGTTCAGAAGCCGCTTGGTATTACAGTGGCTGACCCTCTAGACCGAGAATCAAAGTGTGAGGTGTCCACTCACAGTTCCGTGGTCTGGCGCGGTATGTTCGCTGGCAGGGCTGTCAGCTGCGCGCGCGCGCACCTCACCACGGTGCCGGTGCACGTGCAGAGCGCGGGGCAGTACTCCGGCGCGAGGCAGCCCTTGTCCTCGGCTGGAAAGTCACCATTATGTTTTAGCTAGTAGTTTTTGTTTATTTTGTGAATTTTTCACTGTTATCTCTCTAGCTTCATAGTTATATCTTCTAGCTCAGTGTCCGGGCGCTCGTCTTCAATTCAATATACTCGAGCAACCTGAGTTCGATCCCCAGTGCCGGCGGAAGGAAGGCATCGAGAAATAAAACCGTTTAAAAACTTTTAAGTTAAACGGTTTTATTTTATGTTTTTTTTTTAATTTTTTTGTTAATATTGTATTGTCATCTAAATGAAATGTGTGTACCAAATTTCAGATCAATCTGACAACGGGAAGGTGCTTAAATTTCAATTTCTAATTTTGACCCAAACAAACAAATTCCGCACGGGTCGAGCTAAATAAAACCGTTTAAAAACATACGTATTTTCGAAATAATAACAAAAAAATATTTCGAGTCCGCCAATCATTGTATGTATTTATTGTGTTTAGACCGTGAATAAAAGTTTCTTCTTCTTCTTCTTCTAATTGCAGTTCATAAATATTAATGAATTATATTATTCATTCGGCCTTGAGTTCTTGACTATCTTTACATAAAGACGGATTGGTGCAATGATTGTTATTATAGAAAATATTCCGATTCCAACGGTATGTACAATTCCATTGATGATTTATTATACGTATTATGGTATAATATTTAAAATACTTACTTCATTAAATAAAATACATTAAGACGCAGTACTCTAAATATTTCAGGATACATTTTTACACAACGTTCTCTAATCCTAAACTAAGCAACGCTTGTGCTAGGGGTACTAGACAACTGATAAACTTACTTAAACATACTTTTCTTTTGTAAATAAATTCATATTATACACATATAAATACATAGACACTGGAAAAACACTTCGTTCATCGCAAACTTTTCCAGTAGGGGGGATCGAACCCACACCCTCTGGCGCAAGGGGCAGAACAGGTCAAAGTTAGGACGCTGTCAATGCTTCGATCGACTACACCGCCTCGCCCTTCGCCTCCAATCGTCCAACCCTCGAACTAGAACTGGCCGAAGAGGAACTGCACTCACGGGTGCACTTAAAGTCCGCCTGCTCCAGGTGCTGGAGATTGGCGCCGCGGAGGGCTGGCGGCGAGGCGCAGCTGGCTCCGGGCGCCAGCCGGCGGCTGCGCAGCCAGCCCGCGAGCCAGCCCACGTGGCAGCTGCAGTGCAGCGGGTTGCCGGACAGCGTGCTGTAGACAGTCCGAAAGAGTGTGTTGGATAGGAGTTCCTGATTTATACGGAGACAGCGATACAGCGTACTGTAGACAGTCGGAAAGACTATGTTGGATAGGTGGAATTCCTGATTTATACGGAGACAGTAGTACAGCGTGCTGTTGCCAGTCGCAAAGGGCGAGCTGAGACGTTAGGCTCCGGATTCGCAGGGAGACAGCAATACAGCGTTGTATAGCCAGTCGTAAAGAGTAAGTTGAATAGATCGAGATCCTTTATACGGCCGGTGATACGGCCACGGAGCAGCCTCGGCTGTTGCGCGAATGGGCTGGCTCGTCCGGGTAAGTACCACGACCTCACAGAAGATCGGCGTTATGTGGAAGTATAATATTTTCGCGATTTTACTTTCTTAGCGTTTTGATGCATTCTCCCTTAACGAAGGTGACCACCGGGGGTTGCTGGTGAAACCCCACATAACCCTGTCTTACCCTGAACAGAGTGGGGGAGGGAACTTTTGAATATTTCTTGCACATTTAACATCTCCAACTACTACATTCAACGAATGGATTTTTTTCTCTTTCTTTTATTTAGGGACTTTTACACAGATATTCATATGTCAGTCCGATCGGACCTTATTTATACTTCACACATTCCTTTAATACACGATTGACATCTTCAGAGATTCCACGAGTGCGACAATTACGTCTAGAACATTTCTTCATTACCTTAGCTTGTTCAGTTGCATGTGAAACGAAGGGATTTCCGCGAAAATTAACACCTTGATGCCTAAACAACATCTGGGATTTTAAGGACTGCTGGAGTGAGAACCGCCCGTGTGACCTCTGATTAGCCCAGAGGCTTGAAACATTTGCCATCAGCTCTACTCACAGTGTGGTCAGCATGTTCAGGTGGTCAAAGGCGCCGGGCGTGATGCACTTGATTTTGTTGTCGGCTAAGGACCTGCGGGAGTGAGGAGTGCATTAATACAGTTATATAATACAGCTGTATTATAGCGAATATAATACAGTTCGAAAATAATCAGAGCAAAGGATAAATGAAATTATTTTACTGATCTATACATAGTATAAAACAAAGTCGTCCCGCTGTCTGTCTGTCCCGATACATGCTTAGATCTTTAAAACTACGCAACGGATTTTGATGCGGTTTTCTTTAATAGATAGAGTGATTTAAGAGGAAGGTTTATATGTATAATTCATGCATAATACAGTAGAGAAACATTGATAATTTTGGAGGTTTCTTATGCGATGTCGAAAACAAACATTCAGCATTGCACCCGTGCGAAACCAGGGCAGGTGTCGCTAGTTTTAAATCCGCAATAGAAGACTGGCAAAGGACCCTAAGAAGAACTCACAGCGTGCTTAGGCTGTGCAAGCCGAAGAACATCTTGTCTGTCACAGCAGACAGAAGATTCCCGTCCAGTAGAAGTTCTTGCATGTTGGCGGCGCCGTCGAACGCGTTGTCCTCTATCTCTGTTATACCTGGGAAATAGAGCGAGAGGGGATTATGAGATGTCTTTCATGGTTTATTCTACATCTTCTATCTCTGTTATACCTGGGAAATAGAGCGAGAGGGGATTATGAGATGTCTTTCATGGTTTATTCTACATCTTCTATCTCTGTTATACTGGGAAATAGAACGAGAGGGGATTATGAAATGTCTTTCATGGTTTATTCTACATCTTCTATCTCTGTTTATACCTGGGAAATAGAGCGAGAGGGGATTATGAGATGTCTTTCATGGTTTATTCTACATCTTCTATCTCTGTTATACCTGGGAAATAGAGCGAGAGGGGATTATGAGATGTCTTTCATGGTTTATTCTACATCTTCTATCTCTGTTATACCTGGGAAATAGAGCGAGAGGGGATTATGAGATGTCTTTCATGGTTTATTCTACATCTTCTATCTCTGTTATACCTGGGAAATAGAACGAGAGGGGATTATGAAATGTCTTTCATGGTTTATTCTACATCTTCTATCTCTGTTATACCTGGGAAATAGAACGAGAGGGGATTATGAAATGTCTTTCATGGTTGATTCTACATCTTCTATCTCTGTTATACCTGGGAAATAGAGCGAGAGGGGATTATGAGATGTCTTTCATGGTTTATTCTACATCTTCTATCTCTGTTATATCTGAGAAACAGAGCGAGAGGGGATTATAAGGATGTCTTTCATGGTTTATTCTACATCTTTTATCTCTGTTATACCTGGGAGCCAGAGCGAGAGAGGATGTATGTCTTTCAAGGTACATTCTGCTGAGAGAGAGTTAGGCATAGTTGTGTCACTGACATTCACGATTTATTCCACAATTAAAACAAACAGGTAAATGGCAACGACTTTGAATTGCAACCCTCTCAAGAAATATTTCGTTTACGATGTGGGAGCAACATTTAATTCATTGGTCATCTCGGTATATCCCTCCTATCCAGTGCCAGATGCCTTTGGTAAGGGTAAAGCGTGATTTTCTTTTAGTGCTCTCGGCGGCTTTGTTTAAGAACATGGCAAGCTGGCGGTTCACCTGATGTTAAGTGATAACTGGTATCAGTAGTATCTAAAAGAACGTTTGTGTATTAAAGGATATTACAATATTAATGATTATTTAAATGATGACACGCAGGAAATGAATTGATCGCACCGGGCTCTTCCAATCGGACTTTAGTTTGTATCTAATATATTCATGTCACGCAATGTAAAACATGTTCCTATGTCAAAAAATCGTTAAAAAAATGTCCCGGTGAGTTTCTTTCGAGGCTTGTTCGGGTCAGTGGCTTTAATTTTCCGATCCGATGGTAGTATTTAGTGACAATCAATAAGTGAGTTTGATGACTCCGTGGCGCAGTCGCTTCGGCGTCGAGCGTCGTGGGTTCGATTCCCACACGGGACAACTGTTTGTGTGACCCACAGATAGTTCGTTTCGCATCTGGGTGTTTGTCCGCGTGAAAATGTTTGTAAAATAAAATCGTCCTTACAACATAGCATAATGTTATCCTAAAGTAAGGGCAATATTTTTAATAATTATTAATAAATTAAAAAAAAAAATGAGTGTAATGCTCGCATATTGCATAAAGATATTTGAATTTGAAGTTCACCCACCGTTGTTCCTGAAGTCCAGCTTGCTGAGGTCTGGCAGTCTGCCAAAGAGACCGTCCGATTTGATCCCGCGAAGGTTGTTGTCGGGCATCAGTCTGCGGGGACACAACAACAGTGTGAGTCTCTTATTCGAGGAAAATAGAAAAAAACACAGAGCAATATAATTGTAGCAAAATTTGTAAATGGACTTTGTAGTAATGCTTGCGGTGCGCACAAAGGGAGTGATTGGAACACTTGAAATTAAATTTTTACAGTCTCCAATTTTATAATCTTTCCACTCGAGATCAATGCTGCGGGAATCGAGCCCACTACACTGCGTCACGGAGTCACGGTCGGCCAAGGCTGAAAAGATTGCACGCTCGGGGCCCTCACAGCGCGTGCGTCGCCATCGGCAGGTCGCGGGGCACGTCGGTCTGTCCCGCTCTGGCGCACGCGACGCGCGCCCCTCTCGTGTCCCACTCGCACGCGCACGCCGCCGGGCAGTTGCCGGTCGCGCCGCACGTCCCCTCCCCCTCGGCCGCCTCCTCACCCTCTGCAAAACGCGTTGGACAGCCAACGGGTACAGTCGAATCTAGCTCCGATTAGTTTCGGACCTAACTTGTCGATACACACAACAGTATAAGGACCTCCGATAGATTCGAAACTAGTATGTATGGGTCCAAAAGTAGTATGTAATACATCAGGATGAAGAACCTATTATAGGTCCAAAACTAGTCGGTAATACATCAGGATGAAGGACGTATTTATAAGTCCAAAAGTAGTCGGTAATACATCAGGATTAAGGGCCTAATATGGGTCGGAAACTAGTCGGTAAAGTAAAAAAGTAAAGTAACAGCCTATACATGTCCCACTGCTGGACAAAGGCCTCCTCTATACAGAGGGTATCAGGGCATAGTCCACCACGCGGCCCCACTGCGGATTGGCGGACTTTACATATTTTCGAAATATATTTTTTTGTTATTACTTCGAAAATATGCAGGTTTCCTCACGATGTTTTCCTTCACCGCGGAGCACGTGACAAGTCAGCACTTAAGTTAAAAACTTCATCGGCGCCGGCACCGGGGATCGAACTCAGGTTGCTCGAGTATATCGAACTAAAGGCGAGCGCCCGGACACTGAGCCATCACGGCTTAGCCGTAAACTAGTCGGTACACACATCGATTGAACGTGCATTTTGCGTAATGATATCCCGCGAAGGTTTCAATGGTTTTATTGACACGCACGTTTACACTTGAAGTTCTCCTCCCTCAGGGCGTCTATCCTCTTCCTGCTCAAGCGTTTGGGCGCGTCGCACTTGGCGCCCGAGGTCTCTATAGGGTTCTTGCGCAGGTAGGCCGCGAGCCAGCGCAGCGAGCAGTCGCACGTGAACGGGTTCCTACCGAGATGCCTGCGACAAATATCTGAGGTCAACAATATACGGGGAGGCCTTTCTAAGTGTATCCATTTTTCTAGACACAAATAATGTTATATAATATTTAAAATCAATTAATTAATTACATTCATTTTGACTTATCTAAAAAAAAGTGCGTGATTTATGGGCAACTGATTTATTTTACGCGCGATCATTCATAACTAACACGCACACAAGTTCGTTTCAAAAGTATACGAGGCATTTATGAATGAGTACCGCATTGTCAACAAGTTCTATTTTTTAGGGAATAGAATGGCAATCTTTTTTGAAAAAAAAAAAAAGTTTGTTTTGATTGCAATAAACGATTATACTACCGAGTCTGAAGCTCCTGTGTGAATTTGGGCACATTTAGAAAAGCCACCTTGTATGAGGTCAGGCCAAGGGTTTAACCGTGGTAGGGCCACGCAACGGTGTTGCCATCTGGGCTAGTACCACGACCTTACACTTCGCTCTTTGCGAGTGAGGTAGCCGGAGCCCGCTTTATAGTAAGGTACACTACCCCGCTGAGGATTCGAGAAACATTCGAAAATATTTTTATGTTACTTCTTACGCGAGCCGTTTTGGCATTGAGCACAAATGTAAGAAGTCGTGGTTAAACAACATAAGTAAGTGATATAAAACCTCGTTTTTACTCACAGCGTTTGGATCCCCGTCAAAGAGTCGAAGGTCCCGTTGGGTATTGAGCGAATGTTGTTGTCGTACAGGGATCTGTAAAATGATCAAATATTACATAAATCCATACTAATATGTAACTAATATTAAGAGCCGTGATAGCTCAGTGTCCGGGCGCTCGCCTTTAATGCAATATACTCGAGCAACCTGAGTACGATCCCCGGTGCCGGCACCAATGAAGTTTTTAGCTTTAAGTGCTGACTTATCACGTGCTCCGCGGTGAAGGAAAACATCGTGAGGAAACCTGCATATTTTCGGAATAATAACAAAAAAAATATATTTCGAAAATATGTGAAGTCCACCAATCCGCAGTGGGGCCGCGTGGTGTATATGCCCTGATACCCTCTGTATAGAGGAGGCCTTTGCCCAGCAGTGGGACATGTATAGGCTGTTACTTAAACTATTTTTTTTTATATAATATTATAAATGAAAAGTTACTCTGTCTGTCTCGCTTTCACGCCAAAACTACTGAACGGATTTAAATGAATTTTGGTACACAGATAGTCTAGAGACTGAGGAAGAACATAGGCTATTTTTCAATTGGAAAAAGCTTTAATATTTTAAAGAAAGATATTTATTTAAGTGCTTCAACGCGAGCGAAGCCGCGGGCGAAAAGGTAGTAAATAATAAATCAACTCAACAAACTTGTGTACACTGGATTGAAATAAACATTTACGGACGGTGATTCCTTAAATTTTTTTTCTAGGCATTTCATAATTATCTGGCGAAAATCTCGACTCCGTGCTTACTTGAACATAGACTGTTATCTGTATAACATTGACAGAACTATGAATTCTTCTAACCACAATAATCGAATCGAAGATAGAATTTTGACCACTGGGAGACCGGTCAAAATTCGATAATAATTAATTATATATTCGTGTATGATATACTCATACCTTTACCTTTATTATTATTTTATTGTATCCTATTTTAATTCTTTACGATTATTTCAGGGCCATCTAACTCCTTTCCCCCAAGGTTCCACTGAAAACCAGCATTCACGAAGGTTATCAACTTCGTGATATGAAGCTGAGTGGTGACCATTTTGGTATTTAGTTTTTAGCATCTATTGTATATTTTTTTTTGTTATTATGTGCCAAATAAATGTTTCTTTCTTTCTTTCATAATGATGTACTCGACATGGTAGTGTGCGTAATTTTTCTTTATTGATTCAATGTATTTTTAAATGCATAATATAAAAAATATATATTAGCACTCTGCAGTCCGCGTAGTTTTCGGAAAAAGAGGTACAAAGTTTACCTTCACGTATTTAATATTATATAGATAAATAAAATATAAACAATATTTTTTTTTTATCTAATGCGTTTTCGCACTGGTCTCTAGAAAAAAATCGCACCACTCGCTTAAAAATTGTGACAAGTTTTTTATTTACATATATTTACAGCTTGCTTGATATATAACGTAAAGTTCATTTGTAAAGGTCACAAAGCAAATGAATGGGTTGAATAAATTTAAAAGAGACAAAACATCCTGTTAGAAGGAGAGCCTTGTAATGCGACGTGTGGCAAATGTGGCAAAGAATGAGAAAGTCTCTGAATTAGTCAGTTGTAGTTGTATAGGATGTTACAAATTTTGTTTCTTTTTTATTCAATTAATTTGTTTCAAAAAAATAATAATCATGGATTTTTTTAACGTAATTTTTTTTTACGGGGTATTCTCTACGAGATCGAATCAGAAATGAGGAGATCCGTAGAAGAACTAGAGTTACCGACATAGCAGAGCGCGTCAGCAGGCTGAAGTGGCAGCGGGCAGGGCACATAGCTCGAAGAGCCGATGGCCGTTGGGGCAAAAAGGTTCTCGAGTGGAGACCACGTGACGGCAAGCGCAGCGTAGGAAGGCCCCCCACAAGGTGGACGGACGACCTAGCCAAGATCGCAGCGACGCGTTGGATGCAGGCCGCTAACGACCGGTCGAAGTGGAGGTCAATGGGGGAGGCCTATGTTCAGCAGTGGACGTCCTACGGCTGATATGATGATGATGATGATGAATATGTTTTATGACTATTGGCAAGTGTATAGACGTGTGTTCATTTATTGTCGCGGTGCAAACTACACGCTGTATATGTACAGTTTATTGAATACTCACAACAACTTCAGGCTCTGGAGATCTCTGAAGGTGTCTTTGCGAATGCAAGAGATCTCGTTCGAATTGAGCAACCTGAAAACAATGTTACTGGTACAAACGTTTCCTTTAAATAGACATACAATATACGGCATTTTATTTGGATTTTATATTTGCTCTGCCCCATGGTCGTTTCGAAATAGAATAGTTGATTCTGTGCAAATCTAGTGTATAGGTTATCATCATTTTTGTTTTTGTTTTTAGATATTAAACTAAAAAAATTATGTGGAGCCTATTATGTGTAATTATTATGGGATGAGGATAAAGAGGTATTTAGTACCAAAAATATTTAATGAGATTCTTTCTGAAAATGATTGTATAAGCAAGAATATCTTCAAAATAAAGTTAATAATCTTAACGCCTTCTTTCTAGATTGTTATTTAGCATTTGAAGCCCTAAAGCAAGCGTGCTAATGTTTTAATGTTCAATCTTAAGTGCAGAGATTATTTAAAAAACGATTATGTAAGAGCATGCTTAGATTGTGTTTTTCTTTTATATTTTTCTTTTATTGCTTGGTTATTATTTTTAACTCCAGTTTACATACCCTCATGCTAATTTTATTTTGTTATTTAAGTGACGATTATGTAAGAGTGCATTGTGTCGCCAATAAATTGTTTTTACAATTTGCATCAATTTTCTCAATTAGCATCGAGAATGAGACAATGTATTCGACTTATCCGCTAATTTCGGCTTAGTACTGCTTTCGACACTCGTATAACGTCACAGTGTGTGAGTGAGATAGCGCTATACAACAGAAAGAGCGTTATATCTTTTGCCCATACAACGCCACATAGATAGTGTGTGACGGAGATAGCGCTACAAAGCCGAAGACGGCCGATTAAAATTTTGAAAATGAATGGCGAATACTCACAAAAGCTGTAAAGAGGTTAGTCCGTGGAATATCCCCGCTGGCAGGTCCTTAATCTTGTTTCCGTATAAAACCCTGTCGAAGAAATAGTATCTAAATTACAAAATATAAATAAATAACTGTTGTAGGGCCATGCAACTGTTCGCTGCTGCACGGATGGGCAGGTCCGTCCGGGGAAGTACCACGACCTCACAGAAGACCGGCGTCAAGTGGAAGTGTTATGTACCTCTGCGTTTCGTCTGGTGAATGAGGTAGCTGGGGCACATTTTATAAAAAGGTGACTACGCATTTGCAACCCTATGGGTGTTGCAAAGGCCCATGGGCGCCGGATATCAAAAGGTTGTCAACACATCTGGAACCCTAGGTGGTAACAGATGTCCATGAGCGGCGGTATTCACTTAAAATCAGGAGAACCGTCTGCCCGTTTGGCAACTTCTCACATAAAAAAAATTATCACTTAACATCACCAGCTTGTTTGCCACTGTCTCACATAAAAAAAGTTTGGCTTAATCGAGAAAAACTTACAGAGATGTGAGGTGAGTGAGGCCGTTGAAAGCGTCCGCGGCTATCTTGACGATCTTGTTGTTCGAAAGGTCTATCCGGGCGACCCTCTTCACGGGAACGAAAGCGCCGGCGCCCACCTCCATGATCTCGTTCTGCTCGAGACGGCTGTTGTTCAAAAACGGCGGAAAGTTCATTGGAAAGCCTAAAATGGGGAGGATACCTCAGGGCGGCGTGTTGGGACCGCCGTTGTATCCGCTTTACCGCAATGGCTTCTGACTTCGAAATATACACAAATTGATGAACAATTCTTAATCATTGCGTTGTTATTATCCAAGATGCTTCGATTAATAATAGACATATGGTTGAATCAGTAGTTTAAGAATTTTAGCCCATTTAATATGTCGGGTTTATTAAAAGCAATCACAGAATATTATATTAATCAATTTACACAGTAATAAAAATAACTTTGGGAGTAATATCAAATTTGGGAGTGGTATATTCTTTACACGTATAATAAAACGTGAATATGTTTTGGCTTTCTCTTTGATTTCGAACTATCATCATCATCAGCCGGCAAACGTCCACTGTTGAAAGGTTGCCATTGGCGAATGGCATTTGGCTGTCCGAGACTCTTACGATGTAGTTGGCTACCTTTTCTTGGGTCCTAGTGGGAGGCCTTCCAACAACCAACTTTTTTAATTTTTTTTATAAATCATTGCCCTTACTTTAGGATAACAGTATCCTGTGTTGTAAGCACGTTTTGCCAACATAAATCTCACGTGTACAAACACCCAGATGCGAAACAACCATCTGTGGGTCACACAAATAGTTGTCCCGTGTGGGAATCGAACCCACGACCGAAGCCTATACCTTGGCAACTTGCGTCACGGAGCAGTCAAAGCTGTCTCGAGCTATAGTTGTGATGACCACGCACATTTCGGTGGTGCGATGCGGAATGGTGGACGGCAGCTCCGAGAGCAGCTTCTCCCTGCAGTCCATGGTGCCCTCGGCGGTGCATCGGCAGGGCGGTGGGCACCGGGGCTCTGCTGAGCACTCCGCCTGGACAGCAGTAGCTGGACCTGCGCACAGCACGAGCCACCATAACAACTCCGGCTTCTACCATAAATCTTTTAACATTCAGGCTATACTACTCTGGAACCCCACCATATTAATTCCGACCTATTCCATAAGTCTTTTACCATTCAGGCTATATTCTGGAACCCCTGGAGCTCATCAGAAACGCATCAAGCAAGGTATCATTTAAGAGGATGTTGCGATGTCACTATGCCAATTTTGCAGATTGTTAGAGTCACCAACTTTATCCTTCGTTTTTAAACACTCAGACACTAGATAACACTATTATCATCACAGTATTTTTCCAGTAGTGAGGATCGAATCCACACACTCATTTAGAGACACTTTACCCATTCGGCTAATCGGGTCTGATTACTTTATTGTCTAATCTCTTCTGTTCAGGTATCTCGTGTTAGTCTACAGTTATTAGTTCGTTATAATCACGTTTCTCTTTGGAAGAGAGAAAGTGACGTATATAAGCAAGTCAGGTCTCACCATTGCATATCAGCTCGTGGAGTTCCAGCTCGGTCAGCAGAGCGCCTCTGAGGGTAGCTGGTGCCTGACATCTAAACGAAGACAAGTTAAATAATTAGTACACAGTATAAAAAAAGACGTCCCGCTGTCTGTCTGTCTCTATATGCTTGGATCTTTAAAACTGCGCAACGGATCTTGATGCGGTTTTATTACTAGATAGAGTGATTCAAGAGGAAGGCTTATATGTATAATACATTACACCCGTGCGAAGCCAGGGGCAGGTCGCTAGTGTTACAATAAAGGATCAAACCACGCGAGCGTCCACGTTCTATATACTAGTAAGCTTATGAAATCCCATAATAAGATAAATATTAGTTGGGGCGTACCTGTTTTTGCTCATAATGAGCTGGCGGATCACCTGATGTTAAGTGATAACCGCCGCCCATAGACATTTGCAACACCCGTACGGTTGCAGATGCCTTGTCAGCTTTTAACGAAGAGGGCCCCGGCTACCTCACTCACCGTACGAAACGCAGAAGTATGACGCTCCCACTTAACGCCGGTCTTCCGTGAGGTCGTAGTACTTACCCGGGCGGACCTGCCCAATCGTGCAACATCGTGAACCATCCATAACGACCCGTCTGGATAAGCATCTGCTTTGTTTAGTCTAGCTGACGAAGCAGCAGGTTCACCTGATGTTAAGTGATTATCGAAGCCCACGGCTGTCTCCACTAAGTGATCGACGGATTTGAAGGGGCGGCGGCAATGAGGCGTTAGCCACAACTTACCGACATTTCTGCCAACAACTACTGAAGGATATGTTAATCTTTTATGGGACAATGAATTTTACAACAAGATCCCAGAAAAATTCAAACCTTTCATGAATTTCGTCTATTCTATTTCCATCATATTCAAGAATATTAAGAATACAGTTCTAAACAATGACAAATTTAATCTGATTGTGTCTAATTTTATGTAACTTGAACCACAAATAATTGAATTATGACATTGACAAACACTTAGGTAATAAGGACATTGTATAGATATATTTTTGTTGTCATGTATGAAGTAAATGGTGACCAAATTAATTAAAAAACAATACTAAAAATAAGAATAGAATGTAAACTTGAATATGGCTAAGCATTTTGTGTAAGAGAAATGGTTGAATATGATTGAACCGCATTATATGATTCTCAACATCTTTTATACCATATTCAAACAAATTTAATATATAAAATTCACATGTCACAGTGTTTGTAATTGAACTCCTCCGAAACGGCTCGACCGATTTTCGTGAAATTTTGTGTGCATATCGGCCAGGGTGGAGAATCGGACAACATCTATTTTTCATCCCCCTAAATGTTAAGGGTGGTCCACCCCAAACATTTTTATCTACCCTGCAAATAATTTATATGGCAAAACAACGTTTGCCGGGTCAGCTAGTAAATATATATATAAATCCCCTAATAAACCCCTTACCTGGCACCTACGCCAACTATGACCGAAGCCCGCAAAGCGGTCAAGAGGCGAGTCACCCGACAGTCGCAGACCAGGGGGTTGTCTGTCAGACGAAAGGTGTGCAGCCTGGCCACCGAAGCCGGCTCCATCGACAAGTAGGTCAGATTGTTGTTGTTCAGGGTCCTGTATGGGTTGGACGGTCATCAGTTGTTTCCGTGGTCCGTAACAGATGCGACTTTTGGTGTGTTCGTAGACAAGTATGTAAAACTGCTATGGGCTATACTTATCATTCGGCAATAAGCGATATGTTGATCATATTATACCAGATACTGATACCAAAATTTTGAAATACTATCGTTAAGAAGAAAAAACAAGAACCGTTTTTAAGTTTTGTTTCTGCAGTGAGATACTGCAGTATTTTCCAATTTTTCACATAAAAAAAAAACGTTGTTTTAATTTTTTATTTTTTCTGTTTCAAACTTTTTGACGTTAAATATATTATTTATTTTTAATCACGTTTTACCATTACATGTAGTATAAGTTATAAAAAATGTACGTTTATTTATCCATAAAAATACCCTTTAGTAGAAATGTACCTACACATTTTAGTTTAAAATCGTAGACAAATCAGCAGAGATACTGTTGGTATCTCTGTAGACAGATTATTGCTCAAGGATAGTTTGCAGTTCAATCCACGCAAGTTCCAAATATTCCCGTCATCCACAAACAGTTAATATTATCAGTGATGACTCCGTAGCGCATTTGCCAAGGTATTGGCTTCGGCGTCGGGGGTCGTGGGTTCGATTCCCACACGGGAGAACTATTTTTGCGACCCACGGATAGTTGTTTCGCATCTGGATGTTTGTCCCTGTGAAATTTATGTTTGCAAAACGTCCTTACAACACAGGATGCTGTTATCCTAAAGTAAGGGCAATGTTATTTAATCAATTAAAAAACTTCTTTTTGGAAATTGGGCTCCGGCTACCTCACTCACCAAACGAAACACGAAAGTATTTGTCATACTTCCAATTTACGCCGGTCTTCTGTGAGGTCGTGGTACTTACCCGGACGAGCCTGCCCTCTACCATCGTTCTACTTTCGCGTTTCACATAAAAAAAAATCAAATTAAAAAAAAACATGATAACCAAGATGAAGTGGCATTTGCGATTGACTCACAGCACTTCCAGACTCTTCAGGGGCTCCAGGGCCTTGTCATCGATGCACTTGAGCTGGTTTCCGTCCAGGTGGAGGTTCTTTAGGGCGGTGAGGCCGCGGAAGGTGCGCCGGCTGATGGCGGTCAGCTCGTTCCGGCTGAGGTCCCTGCAAGAAGCCAACGGTCAGTGGCAGCACGGATGACGCTTAGGTAACCTTGTTCACCGTTGTACCACTTTTCTTATGTGAAAGGTTGCCAAGCGAGCAGACGGCTCACCTGATGTTAAATACCGCCGCCCATGGACATCTGCAACGGCCGAAGGTTGCAGATGCGTTGACGACCCATTGAAAATTGGGCTCCGGCCACCTCACTCACCATACGAAACGCGAAATATATTAGTGGCCCTACCACCGTAAAAACCACCGATACAAAGCAAGAAAGGCTCCATCCGACCCTCATGATGATGGCGCTAGTATGCTGTTTAAAGCGTGTTAGCCCCATCTATGACAACACGGGACAGTTGCGAAGTTCGCGCGCGACGGTGTCCCAGCCAAGGAGGGAACGGAGGGTGCAACTAGGGTTGCCACCTTTTTTTGAAAGAAATGAAGCATCACGTATATCAAGTAGAGGAAAAATAAAGTATAAAGGAGAAAAATAAAGTATTTTTAAAAATTTTGTTAACTCTTGAAGATATATTTTTGTATGCTTTTAGCAGACACAGTTTTTAACTATAGTAAATTTTTTGGAAGCTCAATCGTTGCATTCTCAATTTAAATAAAAAAACTTTTTTTTTAAAATGTGCTTCACAGTAAAGATACAAAATAGAGTATTTTCGCATACTTTACTTTTATGCAATATTAAAAAGTATATTTTACGAAAATAAAGTAGAATACGTTATTAAAGAGTATGGTTGGCAATCCCTTTTGCGAAATCATTCCAATTCAGCGCTCTGCCACTCAAATACAATCAGCTACCGTTGTAACATACTTTTTAAAACCTAACATTCGAAATTTATAGTCGTATGAGTTTGACATGCCTTCGAGACCTGAATCATACACACAACTGCCGAAGTCTTTAACACAGCGTTAAGAATCAAAATTCTGTAATCCAGAATTTTGGCTCTGACGTTTTGTTGGAGACGTTTTGATGAATGAATGAATGATATTCCTTTATCACACATGTTGGAATTAAACCGAAACATCACCCACTGTGACTATAAAAGGAGCAGCGGTCTATGCTCATCGTATTTCTTCACTTGCTCGTCAGCCGTCGTAGCGTGCAGAAGCTCTACCCGAACTAATAACGGTTGTGTCGGTTAGTTTGAAGAGCCGTGATAGCTCAATGTCCGGGCGCTCGCCTTTAATTCTATATACTCGAGCAACCTGAGTTCGATCCCCGGTGCCGGCACCGATGAAGTTTTTAACTTTAAGTGCTGACTTATCACGTGCTCTGCGGTGAAGGAAAACATCGTGAGGAAACCTGCATATTTTCGAAATTATAACAAAAAAAAATATTTTTTCGAAGATATGTGAAGTCCGCCAATCCGCAATCCGCAGTGGACCGCGTGGTGGACTATGCCCTGATACCCTCTGCATAGAGGAGGCCTTTGCCCAGCAGTGGGAAATGTATAGACGGTTACTTTACTTTTTTGTCGGTTATTTAGAGTTATAATTAAACTCTACGTGGTTTGGCTTACTGGCCAATAAGTTCCTTTTTAAAAAAAATCAGTTATCGTTTCTATTTCTAATGCACACCAAAATAAAATAAATTAGAACCAAATATTTAATGCAGAATTGGGGGTCTTTTTACCAAAAGTAATTTCTTCCCGGCAACCTTTTCATCGTGACGGGGACAGTGAATGGTTTGAGTATGCCTGTCTGACTTTTGGTTCAATTTGATTATTTTGATGCGAATGCCATGTGATGGCAAGAGCGAATTAGATTTTACCGCCAGTCGTACGCATCACAGATAATCACAACCATAGGTCATACAGTCAAATTTTAGCTAAAAAAGTGTTCATTTTTGTTTAACGATATTTCAGTGTATTATTGATTTGTACATATATGCGTGTGATAACTGTCAGTGAGAGTTGCGATGCTATTTATTAAAATCACTTATATGAATGTGAGGCTTCCATGTTTTATTAGCGTTCGTTGCGTAAATACTAACGTACCGTAATATAACCATTTTTCCTGTGCTGCCATCTCTTGGAGAACTACTCTATTTGTAAATTAAGCTTTTCCGAACCAAGAAATACAAACACTGGCCAGTAGATGGCGCTTAACACAATAAATATGTGTTATCAGCGCGCGCAAATAAATCACACCAAATATAGCACAGCTAATAAAATATCCCGCTAAGCCGGTTAGGCTTTGAACCAAAACAAAACCAAACTTCAAATGTTTTGTGTACATTATGTGCAGAAGAAGAATCTTCTTGCGAATGGAGATGGCTGGGTCTTGATTAATAATATTATATAATTACGATAATATATACAAATGCGAAAAAGATACACTAGCACACCAAAACTGAGGCACTCAAATTACACCAATTGGTGTAATTAGATAACAATTATATACAATATACTGCTAACTATTTCCGTATCATACTTTCAATATCATCTGTCACATTAAATTATACGAGTCGTCACCCAGTGGTCGAAACTCGACCATAATTAATTATGCATGGTGGTGTGTGTAATGTTATTTTTATTTTGATTTAATGTATTATTTATTTACAATTTTTTTAAAAAAATAAACTATAAGTGTGGGAAATTTTGTGCTCCTCTGTCTGCACAATTTTCTTAAAAAGGGGTAAATACAAAGTTTTTGCTTCACGTATTAATAATAGATATGTCATATAATGTAAAGCGGAACAATTTTTAAACGCCGCACGGTGTGGCAATGCACCATCTTTATTAACATCATTGGTCTTGATAATATCAATTTAAAACATTTAATGCATGTAAGAAACTCACAATTAAACTTTCACACGAATAAACTCTTGTATTAAAAAGATGGGATAGTAAAATAAGTTCGCTCTATGATTTAATCAGTTACAAATTTGTAGGAAACGCTTATATAACAATTATTCTTTCTCTACTTAATTCAATTTTCTTAAATTCTTAGACGAAAGTGCTTAAAATCTGACCGAACTCAGACCGGAATACGTCGTGAAAGAGTTTGCGATAGTCCAGTGGCTGGGACGGCACACAGCTATCTTAACGTCATGGGTTCGAAACTGGTTGGTCGACTAATGTTTACAGTTTTATCGGGCTTACGAAGCGAAAATCATCACTGTCCATTTGGTGAAGGCTTAATACTTGTAGCTTTTGGAAGTAAATTATTATTATGAGGGTTGCGTGGTGGGCCCAGCAGTGGGACATGTATAGGCCGATACTTTAGTTTTAGATTCCATTTCATGCAGTAATTATGAAAGAATAGAGTAAAATTTAATGTCGACTTGCGGTCTTCCCAGGGTATAAACGCCTCCCACGTTATATCAGGGGGTGGCGTGAGGTATAAGGGCTGGGGTGGATCGGAAATTCGAAATGCTATCCCCGCTTGACTGAGAGTGCGCTGTGGCACGCGATGTTTGGTCCTCCGGCGATTAAAGTGCCATCAATGGCTGACGGGAACGGTGTTGTGGACAACTCGCAATTGGAGATAGTAAAGGTTTTGTTCAGCGTCAACTTTTGCACCCGGCTCCGCTTGCTACTTATAGTATAAACATTAAATGCTAGTTAAGTTAAATAGTAAAGTATACATTTATGTCACTTTAACGCTGAGCACGTGGTAAGTCAGCACTTAAAATTAACAATTTAATTGGTGACAGCACCGGGGATCGAACTCGGGTTGCACGAGTACATTGAATTTAAAGCGAGCGCCCGGACAATGATTTATCACGGCCCATAATAATAAAAAAAAGGTTTTGAAGATATGTGAAGGTCGCCAATCCGCAATGGGGTCTCTGTACAGAGAAGGCCTTTGCCCAGCAGTGGGAGATATATAGGCTGTAACTTTACCTATCATAATACTAATGTAAAAATAGTTTCGTTTAATAACTTTATAAGTCAAAGAATACATTGGGCATTTTATTTCAGTCAACCTTTGTTCATACAAAAGTAATTGACACAATAATTAAGTCAATATTAGCATAGCAAACAAAAATACGCGTGTATAGGACACTGTTACACAAATGACAAGTTACACAACATTTGTCAACATTTTTCGCCGATAGGGTCTGCAAATATTGACATTTCCGAATAAAAACTAGGTCAATTAGAAGACTATCGCCCGGTTTCTGAAACACTGATCATCGTAGAAATTAACTAATCGGCTGTCAAATGGCATTGTCAAGTGTCATTTGAGTTGCCAAAAGGATTGTTAAACTCTTTGAATTGATAGGAATGGTTAGTTAATTTCTACGTTAATCTGTTTTTTCTTTCTTTTTTTTATTTTTTTATAAAAACATTGCACTTACTTTAGGATAACATTATCCTGTGTTGTAAGGACGTTTTACATACGTAAATTTCACGCGGACAAACACCCAGATGCGAAACAACTATCCGTGGGTCGCACAAACAGTTGTCCCGTGTGGGAATCGAACCCACGACCCCCGACGCCGAAGCCAATGCCTTGGCAACTGCGCCACGGAGTCATCAAGTCCTCCTAATAATCAGTCTCAGAAACCGGGCTTCGTTACAGCTGAAGGATTTGGACCTGGGACCATAAAACCATCCAACGTTATAGCCACTCAGCTCTTTAATATAATAAACACATTGAGTGATATAAAAATAAACAAAGGGAATGCATGAGGATTATTTGATATCGCTAAATCTTGCGTTAGCTCAGTGTCCGGGCGCTCGCCTTTAATTCAATATACTCGAGCAACCAGGGTTCGATCGCCTGTGCCGGCACCAATGACATTGTTAATTTTAAGTGCTGACTTATTTTTTTTATGTGAATAGTTAGTAGTTAATAGATTATAGATAATATAGTTAATAGATAATAGATAGTTAATAGTTAGCCAAATGAGCAGACGGTTCACCTGATGTTAAGTGACATCTGCCGCATCCGAGGGTTCTAGATGCGTTGGCAACCTTGTGAAAATTGGGCTCCGGCTACCTCACTCACCAGACGAAACGCGAAAGTATTTGTCATACTTC